ATTAATAGGCCAGAAATGCACTTTTACATTTAAGTAAATTATGAAATTTTAACTTTATAAACATGTGAAGAACAGTATGGTTTTGCACTTTAGTGTTTTAACATAACTGATTGCTAAAAAGATTTTCCTTTTACATTCATCTGAAAATTCCATTTTTTCTAATCATATTTTTTGTTATTACATGAGCTAACAGTATTAATAACTACTTTTATACAAATTCAAACTCAGTCTCTTTCTTTGATATTAAAAAATGACAAATGACAATTAGAGCAATTAAAAATCTCCCTTTAAGCAAGAGAAGAAAAAAAAAAGAAGAAAAATCAAGATTTGCTTCTGAGGTGGTATAAACAAAATATAGTAAGTTGTGGTTTTATTAATTTTAGCCACTGATTTATTGTACAGCTACAATATCTCAACTGTGTTGTTTTTGGACTAATTGATCCCATTCAGTAACATTTTCCATTTCTAGTCCTCTTTTAATTCTTATAATGATTTCATTAATTTGATGAATAAATGGTATTTATAGAGAGGTAAAATAATAGCTAATAAGACAAAAAAATAAAGAGGAATGAAGAAATTTATATGACAATAAGCCTAATTTGATAGACCTTATAGTTAATAAATTAAATTTTATATGGATTAGTTCATTTGTAGCAGTCAATTTTCTAATGTAAATGTCTTAATTTCTTAAAGAACACAGACAAAGGCACTGGTGTAATCAGTTTATCAAATCTCTCCTTATGAAATTTAAATAGAAGATAAATAGAAATTGGATTTGTGCAACATGGGAGAAGCAGCCACTGATTTAACTCTATTAAAGAGTGTTATTAAAGTTATAAACGGATCTGTGTCTTACACCTACAGACACACACACACACACACACACACACACACACGCACACGCACACTCTCTTAATATTTGCAAATCTTTGTTTTTGAAGGCCTATTTTTAGACCAGTGTCTGATGAATATAGTAGCACAGTTCTGAGACTATAAAAGGGAATAACTGATGTTGCAATATCTGAAGGAAATTTCGAAAGAGGGTTACCAAAATTATTTGAGCAACAGCACCATAATTGGATTACATCTATCACCTCTAAACATGACTCATTTGGAGGTACGGTATCTGTTATGGTTTCTTTAACAAAATGAATCTCATTAGTTTGTAATTGGATCTTAGGATATAACCTAGTTTGAAGGAATTTCTTGTACAGTTCATAGATGTGTTTTTGTACTCAATGATAAGATGTTTAAATACCTGAACATAAGATTCAACTAAGATAAATAAAAAGAAGCTTCTGGTAGTTACAGAAACAGGTGTTAGGTGAAACTGCCCTAGTAACTCAGATACTACAAACATGTTGCTTTGGGCTAATGCATCCCATCAGAACATTTGAAGATGAAAATAATTAACAAATGGATGCTCCATATTCAATAAGGGGATACATCTCCATGAGTAGAAACACAGATGTGACATATTATGCATCCCCTCTATAAATCAACACCAAAAAAGCAGTTACTAAGCACTTGCTTTTTGCATGCAATTTAGAGGTTCAAATAAGGGAAATTACGCATATTTGAAAAAATGACTAAGGACAGAGTGAAGCATAAAAATACTGTAAACAGAAACATATGGTAACAGAGTAGAGGAATCACTTGTCTGTTTTAATGATGGCAGTTATAAAAATTCTAAATATAAGTCAAATCAAGTATACTCTATTGTAAAGAGAAAAGCACAATCATTTTGCAGCATTATATCACAAGTAAAACACGATCAAATATCTCATTAATTTTCTCAGAGTTATATTGTCTCTTACAAATTTTTTTTATACTATATGTTAGTCCAGACAGAAACCTATTATTTTCTCTAAAAAATATTCTGGACAATGAGAATTTTTCATGATTATTGAATTATAATTTATCCAATTCTGTGTACCTCTGGGGTAAAAATAACAGATTTGCTATATAATATCCATACATTGCAAATATTTAATAAATAGTATCATTCAGTAGTATCCACTAGGCACCTGCACATTTAGATAAACCATGTATATATTTGTTTTTAAAAATATTAATTTTTAACTTATAATATTCATAACTTATAATGTTCATATATTAACAACTGGTGATCATGAGCCTGTGACTATCTGGCAGCAAGAAACACCCCCATTTACTTTATTCCTTCTACTGTTGAACTTTGAGGAGTAGCAGATCTATTAGAAATATCTGAATTATTTAATTTAAAGAAACTGAAGTATTATTAGAAGAAGTTACAGTCCAATTATGCCATGAAGCTGAAGGAAGAATGTGAAACTGATAAAGATATCATGTGGGGACATATGAAAGTTTAATTCAGGTACAATTTCCGTGGCAAACATGATTGCATTTCACTGATAATTTAAACAGAATGGAGAAATAACAGAAAGAAAGATAAATTAAAGAAGGATCAAAAAGATAAATTAAAGGAGTCTGAGCTTGGGAAAGATCATTCTAGATAAACTGTTGATGGAAGGAGATGAAAGTAAAAACAGAGACTATCAACAATATATTAAATATATTTTGGGTAATAGTTTAAAATAAAAGATATATTTTGATAAATATTACTGAAAAAGACACATAAACAGAATAATAAATATTTAATTGAGAAAAATAGTTGCTGAAAAAATTGGGGGCAAGAAGTACCGAAAAAGCTCTAAAACAAAATCACAATCCACTTTCTACAATTATTCATATTTCTTATAAAATCAAGCCTTTATAAATCTCATAATACCTTGTCAAAATTTTAATACAACTACACAATAATACTTTTTATTATACACTTTGATAAAATTAACAGAAGAACATTTGGCTCCCACTGGCAGTTTTATATAAAAGGAAAGTCTGCTTTACTAAATGCAAATTTTCTTAATGTTAATGTAATCTGTATGTGAAACTATTTAGTTAAAATATTACTTAATACATTTGCTCTATTCTAATCATCTATGCTAAAATCACAACGAAAACATCTGGTCATATATGAAAACAAAAATATTTTAAAAACATAATTTAAACTCTATGATGTTCAGATCACTCTAGAGTCAAATAAACATTTGGGGAAAAATGTTCAGTTGCATTTACAAAAGAGTTTCTTAATAAGCAGAGAAAGTATTAAAATAATTTTAAAATAAGAAAATTACACCAAGAAATAGTTATATGTATTACTTACATTAAATTAAAATTAATCTTAATCATGCAAAAATAATAATTCTTTTGCAAAGTCACCAAAACTGCTTGGCAGGCAACATAGCTAGGAATGAGGTGTAAGAATATTAGCGGAATGAAACTGCTCTAGAAAAGCATAGGCTCACAAGGACTGGTACTCACACCAAGAGAAAATTCAACTAAGGCTGAGAAAGACAGAGTCTTTGAGCAACCCTGTCAACAATAAAGCCTCAAGTCAGGGCAAAAAGAAGTCAGAAACTAGGCAGAGGAAGCTCATAACAACACATAAGTCTGCTACTGAGTCATGTGATTAGGTTGTTCCTAAAAATAGGCTACATAATACTGACTAGTGTAGGAGAAAATTATAGGGAGTTCTTATCATCCAAATCAGGTTATAAACTATCTAACAATATTATGAAAATGAAACATTAACTGAGAGTTTATCTTCTGTGATTCCATTTCAAGGCAGTGATAATGAGTATAATGCAATACGGCATCCTTGGAGTTTACCAAAGATATTTGTAAGATGTCTATTTCATTTTCTTCCATTGAATTTTTGATGTTTTGAACCACTTTTACAGGTAAAAATCCCTGCCCAGTTCTAGAAGAAGGTAGAAATCAAGAAGTCTCCTACCAACTGAAATAAGTTACGTCTATGAATTGAAAAGACCCTGTTCTGTACCTGAGTTCCAATAACTGGGCTACGTTCCCCATTTCCTATACAATCAAGCCCCAGTTTTGTCCATTAGCTTCAGTAACCTGAGATGGAGGGCTTTATCCTTTTTTGCTGATGTTGCTAGTCTGCTAGCCTGGGCCTTTTATTATTTGCTAACCAGATTGGCTGTGGTGCCTGCTTTCTCCTTATAAATGTGCCTGGTCTTTGACCCATCCCACTGTCCTAGAACCAAGTTGAAAATACCATGCCTTCTCTACCATTTGCATTCCTCACAGTATTTAGTTCAGACCTGAGCCTGTTCTTGATCAATGCTGATTAGATGGATGAGAAGCATAGTCATGATGCCAAGTTTCAGTATCATTAAGTTATAACTGCAAAAATTATTTTCTTAATGAAAGTGAATATTTGAGTCAACAACATGATTTTTATCCTTAAACTTAAATGAATATCATATTCAATGTCAGTCGTATTTGATAATGCAGTATTCTACCATGGTAAGTCATATTTCTGCAAGTATGTTTTATCGTTTTCCTTTTTTTTTTTTGCAGTACGTGGGCCTCTCACTGTTGTGGCCTCTCCCGTTGCGGAGGCAAGGCTCCGGACGCGCAGGCTCAGCGGCCATGGCTCACGGGCCCAGCAGCTCCGCGGCATGTGGGATTTTCCCGGACCAGGGCACGAACCCGTGTCCCTTGCATCGGCAGGCGGACCCTCAACCACTGCACCACCAGGGAAGCCTATCATTTTCCTCTTTTTAATTTCAGTCTCCTCATTTTATTATTTTTCTGCATTTTATCATTTTAGTTTTTTCTCCCCATTTATTACTTATTGGCATTTTTCTCAATGTTTTAATTTTCCAAATTTCCTTATTCTGTAATAGTGATGTGATTTTTTGTGTTATGATTTCCTCTGTGACAGTTCATTTTCAATTATTTTCTCTTTTTATTTAAAACTCATAACCAACATCATTTAGTCTGGGACTGAATAATGGATTCAAGAAATAAAGTAAATAAATAAAACTGTGCCAGTTTTGTGGTTGAAACCTGAACAAATACATTTCAAACAGTCTATATTATTAAGGGCATTAAAATAAATAGGAATAATCTTTACAGCATAGGAACTTTACCTGCTGAAGTTGGCACTTCTTCATCTGATGCTATGATAGAGGAAAAGAGATGAGGTAGGAACAAAGAGAGGGAGTGAGTGAGATGAGAGGGAAGGAGTGAGGTGAGAGGGAGAGAGACATGGGGAAAGAGAAAGAGAGAGAGAGAGAAAGAGAAATTGAGATTGAACATAAATATATTTCATATTTCTAAATAATGACTAAAAGTCTCTGACTTGAAATTCTGTATATACATTAGATATTTTTTATTAGATAATTAGATAGTGACTTACATTAAATTACAATAAAGTACTTACATTAAATTAACATTTAAAAACTCTCATACTTTAAAATAAGCAAGCATTAGAAAAGACCATTTGGTTGTCTGAATTTGAATCTTCTGTCCTTTTGCAAACAAGGTTGAACTTTTTTAGCTTGAGTGGAAATTATTAAAATTATTATAAATAATATTGTTTAAAATATAAATTGCATATAACATAAATACCCCAACCATCCACTTTGTGGGAATTTTCTATTAGCAAAGAGGAATTAAAAGGTATTGTTGACAGTCAAAAATTCTGTTCCATGAGTTAGAAATTATAAAAAGGTAGGAATTATTAAAGCTTAGAGCGACTCAGAATCACTATGAGTGTTGGTTAAACACAAGGATTCTCTCTCTCTCTCTCTCCCCGTCACATACACACATAAACACACTCAACTCATGTGTACCACAAACTTCAAGATTCAGTAGTGGTGATTCTGTGTCGAAGCCACAGGAACCTGCATTTTAAAGGTTGACCCCAAGCACACATGGATAAGCGTGGATATTACAAGAGAGGTCACATTACAAAAACATAACTTTATGCTAAAGCAGTGGTTCATAACCCTGCATCTATACAAGAATTGCCAAACTCTGGGCCCACCTCAAACCAACTAAGTCAGAGTCTGTCTCAATGGTACTAACTTGTAGCCAGGATTGAGACACGACTAAGTAATCAATATAATGTAACATGAACTCAAAGTGTGAATCATTTTGATTCCTTCTTTAAAAGGAATCAAAAAGGAGAGCAGCACAACTCCCAGGGTAATAATCTGCTGCATGTATGTGGAGGATGGAGCATATGGTGTTGCAAAACTGAAGTAGCTTCACAGTTTTGCCTAGAATGCATGTCTTCATCTTTATACTAACAGACATGCTCTGTGAGAAGATATTTCTGCTCTGTGCACAATTGCAGCTTTATCAGAATGTTACTGTTGAATTATATGACTCTGGCCAGTACTAATTCATTTGATTCATGAAGTTTTAAAATAAAAATTTACTCAGCTGAATTGCTTATAAAGGAGTTTTGTTTCCAGGTGATTTGTTACTCAAGGTATCACTGTGTAACTAGGGAGCAGTCTCCACTATTTTCCATTAGGGTTACATCGGCACAGAGTACACATTAGACAAGCTTACTTTGTGTCCCGACAGTATTTTCCTCTCACACTGTTTGGCTTGTCTCCTTGGCACCAAAAAAAAAAAAAAAAAAAAAAAATAGAGCAAACACACTTGGCATGCATGGTGTGGAGAACATAAATATTTAAAAACTGTTTGCTGCTTTATCATGTCCAAAGTACTTCACAACATGTTCAAAGAAGAAAACTGTTGGTAGCTTCCAGGAACTCCCTTTTAGGAAAATACCACAGGGGCTTGTAGAAGTGCTGACTTAGATGGGTCGTTGCTGGTAAAAGTCTGGAGATGCAAAAGGAACAAGAATAAAAAAGCTTACACGTATAGCTGGTCACTTTGTGTATGTGAACTGAATTTATAAAGCAACTGATGAGATGAAATGCACTCTTATTTGATAGATGAAGATACAGAGATTCAGGGTGACTGAACAATTTGTCTAAGGTCAGTTTGAATTCAAGCTCATGTGACTTTAAAACCAAACTCTTTCCACTGTGCCTTACTGTCTCACAAAGTGCTAATTCAGTATCCACTAAAAGAGAAAAGGAAATGGGAGAAAGGATCATGGAATAAGGACTGGCTAGATTTCAGATAATGTTCCTTGGACTTAGCCTAAGGGAAAAAACAAAAACAAAAACTGGATGTAAGGGCTCCAAGAGAAATCCCTTTAAGAAATGAAGTGGTCCCTTGGAAACTTCTTCAAGTCCCTTACAATCCAGGTATAGACATAGGCAGGAGAGGGACTGACTAGGAGGTTAAACAAAACATACCAAGCCTGTGATGCCTAAGAAAGAAATATCACAAGGGCTAAGATTTTATTCCTCCATTATATATGGATAAGCAAGAAATTTTAGGAAAGGACTAGCAAGCACAGAAGTAAAGACAATTCTAAACTTACAGGAGTCATAGCAATTAGACAGTCTTAAATCCAAAGCTCCTGGGGTGTACTACCCTACACTTGAGCCTATAATACCTGAAAGCACATTTGTAACAAATTAACAATATTAGAGGGACTTCCCTGGTGGTCCAGTGGTAAAGAATCCGCCTTCCAATGCAGGGGATGCAATTTCAATCCCCGGTCAGAGAACTAAGATCCCACATGCCGGGGTGGGGGGGGGGGGGGGCACCTAAGCCTGTGCGCCACAACTACTGAGCCTACATGCCTCAACTAGAGAGCCCACATGCTGCAAACTACAGAGCCCATGCGCTCTGGAGCCTGTGCACCACAACTAGAGAGAGAAAAACCTGCACGCCAAAACTAAGAGTCCTTGCGCCGCAACAGAAAGATCTTGCATGTCACAATAAAGACCTGATGCAGCCAAAAATAAATAAATAAAATAAATAAATATTTAAAACAAACAAAAAAACAATATTAGAATCAGCAGGTACACAAGTCTGCACAGAACTGTATTTCTCTGAAACGTCTCCATAGTGGTGGTTCCTCATAACTTGCAGATGTAACTATATTCATACTACTAAACATATTCATACTATTAACGAATATACATACTATTAAAATACACACACATATTCACAAAGGCACGTACAGGGTTAGGATTGGTATTAATTCACCATTTCAGTTATTGCTGGCAAAGATGGCTTTGTAAGCTAACTGCATTACCAAACATAGCATCATGAACTATGAACAGGTGGCAGCAAGAGCCCCAGTACAAATAAACTTCAAAGTGGACATTAGTGGTCTACTTAGTGACATTTAAGTGAAATTAAGGATCATAGAAGTAATTTCATGATACCTAAATGATTCCTTACTCTTCCTATTTGCTTCTTGGAATTCATGAATCAGCAAATAAACACACACACACACACCACACACACACACACACACACACACACACACACACACACACACACACACACAGAGGTCTGTGTCACATGCAAGTTCCTCTAATCCTGGAAATTAAAAAGACATGCACCAAAAGAAATAAAAGCAAACTAACAACTCTGTATTGTTCTGCCTGGTGACAATGTAGACAAATGTACTGAAAATGTACTGAAATTACAGTGATGGTAGGAAAAGAGAGAGTGAAAGTATATATCTAATATACAGAATTTAACTCAGTGTGCTCCTCTCATTGCCCATAACAGAATCAACTGGGATTTTGTTAAAATGCCACAGATCTAATGAATTTGAATTCTGGGTGTTAGCCCAGGTTTTTGCATTTTTAAAAAGCTCAGCAGGTGACTATTATGAACACTAAATATTGAGAATTATGGCTCTACCCATAAAAAGTTTATTGCAGACCCATGGGTCCAATTGTTGGAACTGCAGCAGTAAATTAGCAGGCTTGTAGAAAACCCTTTGCAATGTACACTGTGGTTGTTTCACCGACTTTCAATGCTCTTTCTCTTGTAACATCGTCAGGTTTATTTGGGTATCTACATTGATGCCTTGGGGGAAGATGACTCTTGCTTTGGATTTAGAGAGAGAGTCTGTATCTCAGAACTAAGTAAATCTTTTCCCTTTTCCTGGCCACAGTTATTGGTCTAGGTAGGTATATGATCCAACTGGAGACAATAATGTGTAAGGACAGGTTTGTAGGTGTTTGGGTGAGGAGAGCTCTTGGAAAGACACTTTCTTCTGCGGCAGTATGTGCAAATAACCCTCTCTCTCACTTCTTTAGGTAAGGACCAGGAAGTCTGTGGCCCTAGAAGCAAATTGGTAGACATCTTGCAACCATGATAGGAGCGAGCTTTAGAAAGAAGCCAATTCTCAAAGACTGAGTAGATAAACAAAACGAAATTAGATTACTGATGATATTATTGAGCCACTGAATCATATCGTGACCTTACTCTAGACTTCTAGCTCTGAGGAAAAATACTTGCAGTTTATTATTTATCTAGTTTTAGTTGAGCTTTCTCTTATTTGCAACTAATGGCATTCAACTGCAATGGTAACCAGTTTTGTTGCTCCCATTTAAAATATATTAGAACGCCTGAGAAATTAATCATCTCTGAGGCGGGCGAGACCGGAAATACATACAGTCTAGGGCTGTGCTTTGAGGGAAGCTGCACTTTCAGCAAATTTGTACTTTAATTTTTCCACAGAGTTTACCACCACATTTTGATACAATGAACCTATTCCCCTGATTCTGAAGTTGGTCACAATTTTTTCAGGACAGTCTGGCAGTGTACATGTTCACGAACTGGGTTGGTGCTTAACCGAAGGAGAAGAAGGCATCCTACAGATTTTCCTTCCCTTCCCTCTTTCCTCCCTCCCTCACCTTTCTCCTTTGCTCACAGGATCAACTGTCAAGTACAATAACTACACAAACCCAGTGAGTTTTGTATTTCCCTGATATACATGTGCTAGCAAAACACACATACTTCTTCATTGAACAGGCTCTAGTCTCTTCATGTGGTCTCAACAATTTTGATATCTCCTGGGTTTTTTTCTTTTTGTCTTACCCTTGGGTGTTTTAAGGAAACTTTCACACCTTGGAAATTCTATCCATTTAAAGCAATTCTATACCCAGCCCAGCATCACTCACCATCAAATAGGAAAAGCTCATTATGAAATACATAAAATACATTTCTTAGCATATGATAATCTATTTTACATAGAGACATTAGTTCATATTGACTTATG